AGCATGTTGAATTATTCTAAGTTTTAATTTATTTTTAGTTAGAAGTATATCTTTATTGGATTTGTTTATATTTGGAAGAAAAGTTAGATACCATGGAGCGTAACTTAAAAATTGAAACGTTTCCAAATGGTGTAAAAATGATTGTTTATAATTGTGCTGATATCAGACATTCTTTATACTCGTATTGACGCGGGCTATTTTATTTGAAAACATGAAATGACGTCTCTTTACGAAACGAATGTTCAAGCCGTAGTTTGGTTGATGTTATTTATACGTTTTGGGGGGGCTAATAACAGTTGACATGTTTGGCATAGGGGCGTACTGATATCATCGAGTACATGTAACTTATATTAGTAGGTAAACTAAAAAACGCTCTTTATATTCATTTATAACACACATCATATGATATAGTTATATGACATAGCCGAGAGCGCTTATTCAAAAACAACCGCGCGAGATCAAACGCCAAATCCGTTTGCTTGGTGACGTCAAAATTTTGTCTCAATGCGACTGATGTAATATGTAACTATTCCAACAATGACCAACATCCTGATTTTTGAACTGACATGATGTTCCGTTATAAAAAAAAAATTCTCAAATTTCATGAGTGCGTTTCTGCTTAGCGTTCTAAAATTTGTTCGCGCAGTACTCATCACATCCGTATGTGTATTATAATAACTAGTTTACAACTTTAATTAACCGATTTAGGCAAAGTAAAATATGACGCACTAGGTAAATCTAATCTAAGTAAGCGAGGATTTCGTCGTTTAGATGGGCCTAAAACACCAGACTTTATTAACAGAGTAGGTTTACTAACAATCGAATTTGTACTGAATTATATTATTTAAGACATGTACTATATTCAGTTATATATATGCGTCCAAAATGGCATACAGTATACAAGAGCAATTATTCACATATGCCTTAAAATGTCTGTTAGATATAGTCTGTTATAAGAAAAAGGTTGATTCTTGTGTCATCGAGAAATGCTTCAATCACATTTTATCGAATTCCTTTATAGCAAACTTTTATCAATTTTACACTTAATAATAGTAGGAAGATGAGCTAGAAGATGTGAATGTTAAACTAAGCCGCTTACGCCTCAGGTTGTCTCTCGATAAACTCCAGACTGCTATACTTTCCCATTCCACAACAAAGCGTTTGAAAATATCAGCGATGCATAACTTTCTGCTCGACAATAACAAATCTACGACGCCCTGCCCGGCCGCCTTAATCACTCTCAGTAGTTCATCTTTAAAATACCCATTGCAGACATAGAGCGCTCATTCCAAATCAGCCCACGGTCGTTATGCCACCCAACTAACTGCATAATTTCCGTTTCTCACACGTGATCATCCTGCCAATTCTCAGAAACTGTCCGTTGTATTCTATCGTCGCGCTCACCCACGGGAATTGTATTAACGATGAGATCATCGAAACGGTGGCTATCATAGCAGGTGTCTTTGGCGTAAAGCGGAAACAGAGCACCTAAAGAAGAGCTCGACGAAGAAGAACTGGCGATACGACCGGCCGCGAAGACTTCTACAATCGGGTCACAGCATATCAAAGATTCTCCTAAGAGAGAGCTATACCAAGCCA